AAAAAAAAAAAAAAAAAAAAAGACAAAAATCCAAAGAATTGGTAAATCCGTGGTTTGTTGTTGGAAGCTCCGAGCCCACCCTTCTCCTCCCCTATCCCTCTGGAGCTGGCCCCAGTGAGGAGAGAGCAGGAATCCCCCCACTTCCCACGTGGAGCAGTTGTGAGTTGGTCGCAGGCCCCATTGACACCACTGGGGTCAAGCAGGATCTTCTCAGAAGGCGCAAGGTGAGACCCAGCYCCAATTCTGCAACACAGCACTCAACAGCCCCAACTTCCCCAGTGCCTGGAAACCAAATCTGCCCTGTGGGCACCTCATGATCCACCGTTTTTCAGGACGTGGCAGGGATGGTCTTTAAGGTCCCTTCCAACCCAACACTCCCTTCTGTGAATGTATGACTAGCAGGACTCTTTGCCCCAGGAGGTCCCTCTGCCACCACCCTGGCATCTCCTCCTCACCCCTTTAGCATCCACGTTGCACTGAGCAGTGCCCTCTGCTCATCCCCCTTAGCTGTGCCCCAATTTCTGCTAGCTGGGCAGAAGGATCAGATGCATTCTGCAGGAAACACTCATGTCCTGGAAGATCTTCCCAGGGAGGTCACACCCTGCACATGGATCTCTACACAAGCTATGCTGGGTTCAATAGACCCTCTGGGCTTCCAGGATGGATTCCCATCCCTCAACTCACCATGGAAAGACATGGAAAAACAGTCTAGGCTCCACTCTGCTCTTCCTTATCCCTTTGTTGCATCAGCAGCTTGAGCACTTTGGGTTCCCTGCCTTGACCCATCACAGGACATGATTCCACAGGAGTGGTTAGAGGAGGTCATKGCTCCATGATGGTGTTGGCCACACGCATGAGCCTAATGGTCTTCTCAGCTCTGTGTGGCCAACTGTCGGCTCTGATCTGCTTTGGGAGTTTCCAAGGACTGCAGATGTTGCTGCTCATCCAGGCTGACCCCACATTCAACACACAATTCCTGAAGAACCCTGGTCCAGCTCCATTGTGGGTGGAGAAGCTCTCATCTTTAGTGCTTCTTTCAGGATTACTCTTGCCTCGAGGAAGGAGGCTGAAGGACAAGGACAGCCAGTGGCCTTGCTGCTCCTTCCTCCAGAGGTGTTCCTTTCCAGGGCAAGAAGCCCAAGGACCCCCAGCAGTATCCCACCATTTCAGCACTGTCCCAGGCTCCCCACTCCCAGACACTGCAATGGTCCCCTCATTCCTTGCTGCTCTGGAGCACCCAGCACTTCCCATCAGATGTTTGAAAGCACTCACCTTTTCCAAACTCCTCAARTCCTCATTTCGATCCTCCTGGATCCCAGGGTTGTTGTGTCCTGCATGTGCCCTAGACAGGCATGTCCCCAGGATCTGCCGGTTCCCCAAAATGGGAGCCTGGAGCTCAAGAGCAGCAGCTCTGTGCATTTGCCAGTGCCTACCCAGACCCTCAGGATTTCCTTGAAGCTCTCCAGGACTGCACTGCCAGACACAATGGGAATTTTGTCCCAAGGGAGCAGTCACTGGAGATCTCCTCTCTTCTCCTTTGAGCACCCCCTTTGGCTGTTACTGATGGGAGATGGACCTTGGACTATGCTAGTCTGGCTGCTGCACTGACTTTGAAGTTCTTGCATGCTCCTTGGAGTCTGGTTTGTGCCCTGAAGATGTTCTTCAGGGTCAGTCATGAACTGTGAGCACCAGTCCCACCTCACATCTTCACTCTGCTCCCAGGAAWGGCTTTCTGTGACTGTTGCATCTTTCTGGCATCCCTCAGGAACTGGCTGCTCCCAGTGCAGGTGGCATCACCAGCATCCACCTTCTGACCCGAAGCCCACAGGTTCCTCTGGTCACCACACAACAAGATCCGAGCAGCCCAGCAAGTGCCACCACAAAGCACCACACCATGACAAGTGACCCCAGACCTGCTCCAATGTCCTTCCCTGCACCTTCCATTCACTCTGCACCAGGTTTAGCAGCTCTGGTGGAGGATGGCCATGGACCAGGGAGCGTTCTCAATCCTCACTGCTGCCCTCAGCACAGACTTGAGGCTCAGTGCAGTTTTTGCTCAGTTTTTGGTGATCCTGAGGAGCCTGAAATACCAGAAAGATTCAGGAAATKCTTCTTTGGCCCAAGAGAGCTACTTGATCAATCTCAATGCCCCAGCTGATGCTCTCCTTGCTGCCATCTGGTGACAAGTGGCTGTGGGACTGTAACATGGGCATGGCCACCAGCAGGCAGTTTGGATATGGCCGTGTTATAARCTGAGCTGGACTGGTTTTGCTGGTCCTTGCCACCCACAAGTTASCCTTGGGCAGCCCTGGCACAGGACATTCAAACCCAGCCTTGATGGGGTCACAAAAATGGGACAGCCACCCCTCCAGCTGCACTCATGTGTTGGTTTGTACCAAAGGATGGTTCCCAGACCAGCAGAGCCAGGAGAGATGGTATCTAGGGGACATTAAATGAGTCTGATGGTGATGCATTTGACTCTGCATTTTCAGTTCCTGGTGCAGGAAGAAGAAGCTSCATTTGCATGTGAAGCCCTTGGCTCATCACATCTGGAGGAGGTGGCTCTCTGTCACCCTCTGTGAGGTTGAAGAGGTCAGCAGGTGACACATGGGAATCAAGGGAAGCACAAAGGAAAGCAGCAAGGGGTGAYACAGGGACATCAGGCACAGACTGAAGGCTCAGTGCAGTTTTTGCTCAGTTTTTGGTGATCCTGAGGAGCCTGAAATACCAGAAAGATTCAGAAAATGCTTCTTTGTCCCAAGAGAGCTGCTTGGTCAATCTCAATGCCCCAGCTGAGGGAGAGGGAGGTGCCTTTGCAATGGGGAGTGAGTCCCATGATGGCAGCAAGAGCAAATCTGCCTGTAAAGTCCCACTGAGAGCAGACAGGGATCTGGTCCTGGGCCACTGAGAGATGCCCTGCAAGGAATTGGCACCCTTGGTTCTGAATTGGCAACTTGGTTCTGAAATGGCACCCTCTGTCACACCTCTGCAGGCAAGAGGGAAGCTTTCCAGCTCCTGGCCAAATCCCTTGGGCTCCAAGGAACCTCAAGCTTCCAGGGGCAGGTTGGGAGGAGGAAAACGCAAGCATATTTTTACAGAAATTGGAGTCTCCCTGCAGCAGAAAATTCCGTAAAAGCAAAACCCAAGTGAAAAGCAGCTTCAGCTGTTCTGGCTCTGGCTGTGACGGGCTTGGCCCCAGGCCAGTGAGTTAATTCTGCCTATTAACTAATAGTATAGTATTGTCGGTAAAGATTCATTGCTAAACTTATGTTTTTAAGATATCACTTATCATTTAAACACTTAACTCCTGATCCCCGAACATGTACAGGCACCGTGTACCCTGCAGCCATGCTGCAGATAACCAAAGCCACCGCTGGCAGGGGAGGCCGGGCAGTGTTTAACCCTTTTTCCCCTCTTTGTTTGAATGATAAATTGTCTGGAGTAGCACTTGCCAGAGGAGAGCAGGCCCTCCCACTCAGGGACCGCTTATTATCACCTACTTAATGTTCCCCAGCTCAGCAGGGATGGAAGAACTGTTCCCAATCGCGGGTTTTTCTAACCTCTGTGAAGGGTGTGTGAACAGCCAGAAACCCCATGGATATCTGTGATTGCAGCCTGTCACCACCAAGGGCCTCCCTCTGTCCTTTCCTGCCTTTCCCGTCACCCCAAGTGCTCTGCAGGCTTGGGACAGCCAGGGGTGCTCCTTGAGAAGGAAGGGTGGGAGCAGCAGGAAGGGTGGGAGCCCTGGGTGCCACCCAGCACCTTTCAGCTTAACATCCCCCTCCGATCTGTACCATAAATCCACAATTTTCACGGATCTCAGACCTCTCCCAGCACCTTTACCAGTTACCCAGTGACCAGTCACCACCGCTGCAGCCCCCTGCCCTCCCCACCCACCGGGGACATCGTGGGCAGGTTTTTCTGCACACAAACGATGATAAAGCTTTTACACTCCTGTGTGCTCGGTGAGGATACCTTGACCTGGATGGCTCGTGCTGAAACGTGACACTGGACAGTCCCACCTCACTCAACCTGTTTGTCTTGTTGCGGGGACCTGCGGATGGAG